GAAGGGAGGTGGCTGGGGACGCTCAGCTATGTACCTGCTTCGAGTCGCTCTTGGGCCCCGTCGTGGGCAGCTGGAGGACTCGCCCCAACAAGGTCCCCTCTTTGCCCGCGGAAACCAAGCGTCTTGCGAGTCGAAACTCATCATACTCGAGACTTGTCAGTTGTACTCGAGACTCATCAGTTGTACTCGAAAGATTAGCACTCTCCATCTGGAGTTCAAGTGTGTGTGTGTGTGACAGGGTGCTTTGTGTGTGTGTGTGTTGTGTGTGGTCTGCTTGTGTGTGTGTGTGTTGTGTGTGGTCTGTTTGTGTGTGTTGGGGTTCTCTGTGTGTGTGTGTGCGTGCTGTGCTGTGCTGTGCTGTGCTGCGCTGCGCTGGGCTGGGCTGTGCTGTGCTGTGCTGTGCTGTGCTATGCTCTGCTGTGCTCTGCTGTGCTCTGCTGTGCTGCGTGCTGCGTGCGCGTGCGGGGCGGGTGCGGGTGCGGGTGCGGGTGCGGGTGCAGGTGTGGGTGTGGGTGTGGGTGCGGGTGTGGGTGTGGGTGTGTGTGTGTGTGTGCGCGCATCCGCGTGCTTGTGCTCGCGTGTGCGTGTGCATCTCGTGTGCGTGTGCGTGTGGGCGTGTGAGTGGGCGTGCGCGTGGGCGTGCGCGTGGGCGTGCGCGTGGGCGTGCGCGTGGGCGTGCGCGTGGGCGTGCTCGTGGGCGTGCGCGTGGGCGTGCGCGTGGACGTGCGCGTGGGCGTGCGCGTGGGTGGGGGTGTGGGGGTGTGGGCGTGCGTGTGCGTGTGGGTGTGGGCGTGCGTGTGGGGGTGGGCGTTGGCGTGGCCGCGGGCGCGTGGGGGCGCGTGGGGGCGCGTGTGGGCGCGTGTGGGCGTGTGTGTGCGTGTGCGTGTGGGCGGGTGTAGGATTCTCGAGTGGGTGTGGGTGTGGGTGTGTGGGTGTGGGGGTGTGGGGGTGTGGGGGTGTGGGGGTGTGGTGGGTGTGGTGGGCGTGGTGGGCGTGGTGGGCGTGGTGTGATGGGTGTGGTGGGTGTGGTGGGTGTGGTGGGTGTGGTGGGTGGGTGTGGTGGGTGTGGTGCGTGTGATGGGCGTGGTGGGCGTGGTGGGTGTGGTGGGCGTGGTGGGTGTGGTGGGTGTGGTGTGGTGTGGTGTGGGGTGGTGTGGTGGGCGTGGTGGGCGTGGTGGGCGTGGTGGGCGTGGTGGCCCGTGGTGCGCGCGGTGCGCGCGTGCGCCGCGCGTGGCCGCGCGTGGCCGCGCTTGGCCGCGCGGGTGTGCCGGTGTGCGGGCATGCGGGTGTGCGGGTGTGCGGGTGCGGGGGTGGGCGGGTGTGCGCGGGTGTGCGCGGGTGTGCGGGAGTGTGCGTGTGTGTGCGTGTGGGCGTGTGTGGGCGTGTGTGGGCGTGTGTGGGCGTGTGTGGGCGTGTGTGGGCGTGTGTGGGCGTGTGTGGGCGTGAGTGGGCGTGAGTGGGCGTGTGCGGGCGTGTCTTGGCGTGTGTGGGCGTGTGCGTGGGCGTGCGCGTGGGCGTGCGCGTGGGCGTGTGCGTGGGCGTGGGCGTGTGCGTGGGCGTGCGCGTGGGCGTGCGCGTGGGCGTGCGCGCGCGTGGGCGTGTGCGTGGGCGTGCTCGTGGGCGTGCGCGTGCGCGTGGACGTGCGCGTGGGCGTGCGCTTGGGCGTGCGCGTGGGTGGGGGTGTGGGGGTGTGGGCGTGCGTGTACGTGTGGGTGTGGGCGTGCGTGTGGGGGTGGGCGTTGGCGTGGGCGCGTGGGGGCGCGTGTGGGCGCGTGCGGGCGCGTGTGGGCGCGTGTGGGCGCGTGTGGGCGCGTGTGGGCGCGTGTGGGCGCGTGGGTGCGCGTGGGTGCGCGTGGATGCGCGTGGGTGCGCGTGGGTGCGCGTGGGGTGCGCGTGGGTGCGCATGGGTGCGCGTGGGTGCGCGTGGGTGCGCGTGGGCGCGGGTGCGCGGGTGCGCGGGTGTGCGGGTGTGCGGGTGTGCGGGTGTGGGGATGTGCGGGTGTGCGGGTGTGGGGGGGTGGGGGTGTGGGGGTGTGGGGGTGTGGGGGTGTGGGGGTGTGGGGGTGTGGGGGCGTGGGGGCGTGGGGGGGGGTGTGGGTGTGGGGGTGTGGGGGTGTGGGGGTCTGGGGGTCTGGGGGTCTGGAGGTCTGGGGGTGTGGGGGTGTGGGGGTGTGGGGTGTGTGGGTGTGTGTGGGGGTGTGGGTGTGTGGGTGTGTGGGTGTGTGGGTGTGTGGGTGTGTGGGTGTGTGGGTGTGTGGGTGTGTGGGTGTGTGGGTGTGTGGGTGTGTGGGTGTGTGGCGGGTGTGCGGGTGTGTGGCGGGTGTGCGGGTGTGTGGGTGTGTGGCGGGTGTGTGGGTGTGTGGCGGGTGTGCGGGTGTGCGGGTGTGTGGTGTGTGGGTGTGGGGGTGTGTGGGTGCGTGGGTGTGTGGGTGTGTGTGTGTGGGTGTGTGTGTGTGTGTGGGTGTGTGTGTGGGTGTGTCCCAAACGGCAAACATTGGGAGGTCCAAGTCCCTATTCCGACATTCCCTGGCGCCACGACACTTATGCATTGAGTCCGGTCTTGCGAGCTGCCAAGATCCCCTTTCCACTTGAAGGAATGTTAGTTTCAGACGTTCAACCCCAAACCAAGGATTTGAATCATTCGAATCTTGTCAGAGGCAAAATGCAAGAAATATTGCCAATCCACACACCTCCAGGACTGGCGGAAGGGCATCCTGAATCATTTGGAGCATCAGGGAGCGGTCGTAAGAAGGTAAGATCATATAACTTGTGCTGGTCGAGCGAGAACAGCATCCACATCAACTTATGGCTCCCACTTGGAGCCCTTGGAATGGCAACGCTGTCCATGGGCTCTCTCAAGCTTGAACCATGAGCATAGTATTTGACACATAGCCCAGGTTTCCTGGAGAAATACTCGAGGTTCTGTTGCGCAACTTTTTGGGAATCCCAACGCCGCTGGCGGATTTGGACCCCCAAAAGGCGGCTTCCCATTTGGTTGTTCCCTTACAATCAGGCCACCCTCTGCTTTTCACCCGCCTCCGACTCCACTTTCTGCCGTGGGCGACTGCGGCCTCGAGGCGCCTGGAGCCGCCACAGTTTTGGGGAGGCCATCATCTGCGTTGCCAAGGTGAGGGGGTGGGAGAGGTGGGGAGGGTGGGGTGGGGAGGGGAGGGTGGGGTGGGAAGGGTGGGGAGGGGTGGGGAGGGTGGGGAGGGTGGGGAGGGTGGAGTTCATTTTGTCTTGTTGAATGGACGCTTGACTGGCTAAGATGTTTTGTTTCGTTTGCCCATCAAGCCAATGCCACAGGGATGGAGTTCTGAACCCAACAAGACACTCAGGCCTGCAAGTTTTAATATGTGAACTCAAAGAAAAAGGCAGCCGGATGGAACCAGGACGTTTATTTGGAATCACCAGTTGCTCACTCACTTGAGTGGTCGAATGTCTAAAATGAGTCAATCCAAGATAAGAACCGTTCATGTGAATTCATGTATACTCCAATGTGAACCTTCCACTTGGTTAAGACCCCTGGAAAAAATCCAGTAGTGATCGATGCCCTTTGACAAAAAAAGAGGAGAATAACAAATATCCATTTCACCAAATGGAAGCAACTCATCGGTGCTTTGTTTCCTATTTGCATCGCCGAATCGCCGGCACCCCCGAGCGTTCCCGGCTCCGAACTGCGCGCCTTGGAGCTCTCCTCGAAGTGCACGTGTCCCACGTGGAGCTGCCGCTTCCACTGCTCCAGGATCTGCGGCTTGAGGCCTCAAAGAACCCTCCCCCCCTGTCGCAGCTAGGGCCATGCCCCCCAAAAGGGAGTCTAGGGGTGTTTTTTTGGACATTGAAATAAATGACCAAGGCTTGTATCCCCAAAAAAGAACCCGATGTAACCAGGGATCCAGCCGGCCATCTTCTTCAGGGACTCTAGGAGTGCGATTGTTTGTACATACAATTGGGATAAATGACCAAAAGCCTTGCCATACTCAAAAGGATTCTAGGGATGTTTCTGCGGGATGAATGAAAAACCAAAAGGCTGGCTGATGTAAACGACCCCTCCCCCCAAAAGGAGTACATACCCCTATAAAGTGGGTTGGCAACCGGATGTAACCAGGGATCTTCCTGCCAACTTGGGTGATGTTTTGTAGTTGGTGTCGGGAGTTGTTGAAACGTAAACCGCTTGGGTAACAGGCGCGACTTTGGGCCTTGCCCAAGTGTGTAGACTCCAGCCAGCCCATAGTTGCCAGGAGTCACACAGTCCAACGGTTGAACTTATGAGCCCAGTTCAACGGTAGCATGCAATCTATGGATTCCTGAACCCTTTGTGACTCAATGGGAACCATGGATGAGCCAACCGGGAAAGAATCCCAAGATGGGGCACCCAGGTGGCCACGTTGAAGCCATAGGAGACATGCCGGGGGAAATCATCAATCTATGGGTGGATGTATATATATATATATACATATATATATATACATACCCCGCTACCGTGCTGCCGTTCAAGACAAGACGAGTGGCATTAGATGGCCGTGTGTGTGTGTGTCTCCTTAAGTAGGAGACTCCTGGAATGGTTAGCATTTCAGTTCAATCGAAGCAACATCAGTCACAATCTTGGCTGACACCCCCATGTATCTGACAAAGCCAAGCCTGAAACGTCGACCATTCTCTTGTGGTGGCGATTGACCCCACGAGGTACTCGGACACCACATACGAGGCTCTACGGCTCTTTCCAGACTTCGGAACGGGCAATCTAGCTGAGGGAGTTGTTCGAAGCGGCTTACCCGCACTCTAGGATCCTTCTCAGGATACCAGTACTCTTGGGCCCAACAAAGTGAAAACCCCTTTGTGAACACTACCAAAATACCCACGACTTGGGGGGGGGGGAACTTTCTGCACACAGTGATTCAGTATGATTGATTTATAGGGGCCAGTGAGGCCAGCACCAAACAACATAAATTAGTGAAACGGCTTGACCTTCTTCATTCAAGCCAGGTCCTCCAGTAGAGAGGTTAGAATAAGGGCACCCGAATTTCTATAGTGTATTTTGGTATGGGAACCCTCCCCCCAAAAAGGGGCAAACGGGCAGTACTGGGGGACCTAGCAAGAGTGCCGGCAACCGAAACCTTGCACAACACTCTTCGGGCAACCGAGGCTGACTAAGAACTTTTGCCTGCAAATCCAAAACCTGAAGCCAACAATTGGGCCTGCATGATTGTGAGCTCGTTTTGCCCCCCCCAGCCAGCTCGCCATGAAACAAACAGATTTGTTTGCCCACATGCACACAGGTTGCGCCAATAAGCCTGCCCATGATACCGACATGTAGTGCCCATCCAAAGGCCTGCTTTACCACTTTAAGTTCCAAACGGGATTTGTTTGGAATCGTAGAAACTGGCGCAACCAAAACAACCATGCTCATGACTCATGACAACCCCGAATTGACATGGGAACATATGTAAGTTCTGTCCTCTTGTGGTTCACACAAAAGCTTCAATCAACAACTCCAGCACTCTCCAGTCCACTTAGGGGTTCGGGACACGACAAAACCAGGGAGCTCTCTTGACCCATGTCCAAGAGGGTATGGCAATCGGACTTCTAGTGGCCACAGGGAAAAGAGGAGACCCGTGTCCATAGCTGTCCTTTTTGGGAAATAGATTTCCCTGGTAGATGATTGAACCACCAGGTAAACCAGGGCCTTCTATTTTTACGCAAACCAACCAAAAAAAGTACACCTACTGTGGATGGACAGAATCCTGCACCACTTTAAAACCATGGAAAGCCATCGTTTGTTGGTATTGACAGGGGACTCGTCACTCTCGGGTGTCTTAGGTGGTGCAGGATTTCGTCCATGAACAGTATGCCCATGGCCCATGTCCCCAAAACCGGATCCCAGGTGCTCGTCCAGTTCTGAGCTCCGTCGTTCGCAACAACTTGCTGTGCAGAGGTCACCATGGACTGAAGCCAAACGCCCATCTCCGAGTCCTGAAAATGGCCAAAGTGCCGATTTCTGCTGGGCACCCCTCTTTAGTGGTCGTTTTGCCGCCGGTTTCCCTCTAAAACAATCCCAAAACGGGAACCAACAAAAATATAACCAATGGTGTTCTTTCTGCAAACCCTGACAAGCAGACCTCTACTGGTGGGCCCCCTAATTTGGCGAACCAAACCTAGCTCGGCTTTTGCCCCCAAGCAAACCACGCATGCTTGCATTCTGGCCCGTATAGCGAGAACCTAGACAATGTCAACCCTGATCAACACTCATACATGTATATCAATATATATATATATATATATATTTGTACATACATACATATATATATATATATATACATACATACATATATATATATATATATATATATATTTGTATGGGTGACCAAGGAAGCTACCCTGTGGTTGCCTGCCATAGTGGCTGGACTGGGATCCAGGAATAGAGATCTCAGAATCCAATTGGGCCCAACCCCAGAGTTAAAACAAGTGCTCAGAGTCTGTTCCAAGAATCTTGGACCTCAAGGCCTGTGAGATCCAAAAGCGTGGAGGTTCACACCCCTCCAATGGAGGGTCCTTTCTGATGCTTAGGGCAGCCTTTTCCACATAATAACGTGTATATATATATATTATAATGCAGTCAAGATGACAATATGTGATCGAATAACAATATGGAAGGAGACCCCCGATTTCTGTCGGTCCTCCGTCAAGCGCTTCGACTGCAGCTGCAGGCTTCGCCACTTCTCCAACTCCAAGCGGATCCGCAATCCATCCGCACCCTTCTCCTGGAGCCAAACGAGCAAGAGCTTGGCCCAACGACCTGAAAATAACAGGTGAGTCACAATCAAAACCCGGTACTAAAGTCGTCTACCCAGAACCATGTAAGGAACTAAGAAGGCGGCCGCAGTTATTTATGGTTGGGATCGTCCTTTACTCAGCTTCATCTGCCCGAGTTTTGATTCTGGCTCAGGTGACCCTCCCACCAACTAACATGGAAGTGCACAAAGCCGCTTTTCAAGAGCAAAGCAGTCTTTCTACAGTTAGTCGGTGGCAGGGTCACCATTTGGGACCTTTGCTAAATATGGAACAAACAGGGAAAACCAAAAGGTCACAAGCTCGGCTTTGAACAACGGAGAACAACAACCAGGAACAAACCGAAGTTAAACATCTGGAACTCGGACGAGTCATGTGCATATGATTAATATGATTACACAGAAACCCATTTTATTCATGGTAAACCCTGAGTGTGTGATATGATGGCTGGCAGTCTGGCCAAGACCTGGAGCCTTGCCCGGGTGTGTCTTTGACCCCGCGGCAGTCATTTCCAAACATGAAACCGCTGGGCCCTTGTTCCCCTGGAGTGTTTACTCAACTGTCTTTCTTGGTGCAGAACAAATCGCAATGGCCCAAGGCTCGCATCCTTTAGTGGGGAACCCTCCCTTCCGAGAGAATGTCATTCTCGAATGGGTTTTTTTACTTGGGTGGCAGTGGAAGCCCGGCAATCAAGAATAAACTCACATAAAAAACCCTCGACTTGCTGGTTCTACCAACATACGTTACTAAGATGTGCCAACGCTATACCACTATAGGCCTCCCCGCTAATTGAACCAGGGAGTAAAACCCCCTTGCTGAACCAGCGAATAAGAATTGGTTTTGGGCGCTTTTGGTGTGTGATACAAGACAGGGGGTCGCTTCAAATGGCTGGTGCCACGATCCCTTTTGCACCCATCTGCGAAGGGCCCCTGGTTTTGACACTCGGCCGCATTCAATTGAGCAGCGTCCCGAAATCAATTGAATTGTTGACTGTCTGTCGTACCGACAGGAGTCATCTCCATTGAACTGCTTAAACACCGCTACTCAATTGGCCCACAAACTTTTGGGACGTTTAGTTGGCAACCAGCAACTGATGAGTATCAGGCCAAAACAAGGTCCTGTCACAAAATATACGATTATCCTGGCGGGCATGGGAAAATGAGTGATTCCCTTCGCCTTTGTTGCGAATTGAGTGATTCCCCACATTTGGGGAACAACATGATCGCTCCCCCCCACCCCCCCCATGTCCCGAGCCCCAGATAAATCGAAAATCGATTCGCTCGCTTCGCGCCTCCAGCACATCCAGAAGCTCCTCGCCCGCCTTCACCGCCTGGATTCGACAAAGGGACGCTGAGCTGGCGATGGATCGGTGGTTTCAAGGCATCGGTGCCACTGGCGAGAGCGTCTGTGGATTCTCAAAATAAGCATCGGTCTCCAAGTAATGGATACTCTCACACCTTCTAGCGATGTCCCACTCTTAAGGGCAGTTCAGGCCCTTGGCTGTTTCTCAAAGTGGGCCTTCCCTCAGATGGCTGGTTTGCTGTTGGCGTCCCTTGAAATACCAGAATGCCAAAAGGGGAGCCGCCATGTTGCGAAACTCCCTTGTGATCAGGGGAACCCCAGCGATCATCCCTGTGATGAGTGTTTCACTTTAAAGGGAACTCCCTCGGCATCACACACAATGGCCCGTTGCCACAATCATGGAACCCCTGTTCAGATGTGTTTGGCGGAAAGCCAACATAAAACCAACCACCTGGAGGCATTTCTAATTTTACGAAACACCCATATGGGCATGTGCCCCAATCTTCATAGTCCAGGGGCAACAAACCACGATGGAGGGTTCCTATCAAGTGCAATAACAGTGCTGCCTCACCCCTTTAACGTGGCCAAGTCAAGTCGGAGTCGGCAACAGCAACCGCGTTGACACGATTCCCCAGTGTTACAACCCGTTTTAAGCAGCTTGCAGCACTGAGCGCTACAGACGGGGTCCGGGGTCTGGAAGACTTGAAATAAGACTAACCTCCTGGTGGTGTCCGTTTAGAACCGACGAACCACAAAGAACTACTTAGCACCCAGAGCTGATGTTGCCTTTCAAAAGGTCCATAGTCGCACATTTCGCCTCGCCTGCTGCTTGCCGTGGCGCTCTGTCTTGGGTCGGCGCTCCTGGCTCTGCGCCCGTTCTGAGCAGCCGCCGTGTGTGTGTGTGTGTGTGACACGGGCAGCAGTTTGGTGGCTGCTTCAAGACGAGAATCCATACATTCCAAGGGGCGCCTTTAGCTGGTCCCTTCTTGTCTAATTCTGTTTTCCGCGTTTCGTTGTGTTGGAACGTGGCTCGAAGTCTGCAAAACGCGAGCAACAGATGAGGGACGTGGATAAATTTGAGTGGTCTCCTATTTGTTTCCTCTCTGGGAAATTTGGCCTGTCTTTGCAGTACTCTGCAAACCCACAGTAGGCTACCAGGTTCTAAGCGGGCAACGTTGAACCTCTTCAAATTCCTTGGTTGGCCATCTGTGGTCCTGTGAAGGCAAGTTTTCCCGACCTCCCCTTTCCAACAATGACAGTGCAGAGAATGGCTTTGGAAGACTACCATCATAAGGCCCCCTGTTCTCTTGCATTGGAAAAAGGGTACATATGTCTTATTGAGCGCAGGCGGGTGGAGAAGCCACCGAGTCTCCTGACCGTTGCTGGGCGCTCGGGTACGCTTCTGCCACTGTTCCTGGCCACGAGAAACCAGACCCTGCCTCAAGACTGTCTCCGGGCAACCCGTAGGCACTTCGAGTCGTTGTTCGCAACCTGCTTGTTTGGGGTATTGGCGCTTAGGGGCCGAGTCTGAAAAAGAGCGTCTATGACCCCCCGGGTTTGGGAAAATGAAATGACTCCAAGAGGAGCTCTGTACTTGGAGACGGTCCCTTTCTTGCTCAAAACATGAGGGAGGAAGCAAAGGCAAACCCTGCCAAGCAACATCTATGGAGGACACTGTCTATGGAGGACCAGTTTTGTCTTCCCCTAGCGCGACTGCGCCAACTACTAAAACTGTTTCTCGGTTGCTTTCTGCTCCCCTGCTAAAAGCTTAACTTTTCGTGGTTTCATTCGGAAAAACCCATTCGCTGGCAACAAGTTGAAGTCCTGACATCCCTTGGCAAGATGTGCCAAAGGTTTGGAGGAGCCCAACCTTTCGCCTGGATCTGCGCGCGCAGCTTCGGGAAGTCCACCGCGTCACCGGCCACGGCGCCGGAGGCGTCGCCGGCCAGGCGCTGGATGGTGGACTGGACCAGGGCGGCAAAACCTGGCGAGTGGAGCCCAAGGAAACCCTTTAAGGGGAAACCCCTAGAAGGAAACCACCGGTTTCCGGCTTTTGGTGGCTCCCAATTTTGCTGGTGCTCAGTGGGTAGCGAATGACCCAGACAGGGTTTTGGGAATGAACCCTTTGAGGATTCCCGAATGAAGGAAACCATAGGTTGGATGGTTTATAGGGGTCATTACAATTCTCATTCTCCGCTGAGAACCAGCAAGCAAATGTTTAAGGTGGAAACCCGCTAAGGAAAGCCGCTGTTTTTTGGGGTTTTCAGAAACTGGGCCCGGGCTGTTCAAAACAAGGTGTCGGCCAATCCGACATTCTATAATCCTTAAAGCGGAATGCTTGGTTGTCAAACTCACCAAAATCCCTAGTGCCCCCAAGTCCAGGGGTTTTTTGATCGTGCTAGAAATGATAACTCGATCTGGCTCCATTTCCCTTCCTAATTGGTTGGGGTCATGTTCGCTTCATGTGAACGGGGTGAGTGGGTAGCCTGGTGGCACGGACGTTTCTCAGGCCCATCCTTTCCTATAGACTAGCCCATGTTCATGTAGGGTTCTTCTAGTCCGAAGTCTGGGGTGAGCAACGGTGTTGTCTTTCATGGGCACTGACAGGCTGGAGTCCCAACAGGGATGACTAGGGAGCTGAAGATGGCCCAGCCTTAGGCTTCCTTTGGGAAGCCTGGACGTCGCTAGTCTTTGGTGCCCCCATGCAAGTCTCCGCAGGTTTGACGGGCTCGAGACTCAAGCCGAAACCAAACACAGGTTGCAAAGGCACCCATCGAGGAATTGCAAAAGGCGGCTTTCCGCCTGGTTCCAATATTGTGCTTTTGAGTTTTGGGTGGACCGACCCAGCAAAGTTTTGCTGGCCTGCGGCCTCCAAAGCTGAAAGGGCGCCTGGCACCCTGTGTGGCCGTTTCGTTTCGGTTTTCGGTCCCCACCCCCATGTTGGCCGCAGTATTCTGTTCGGTCATTTACGTATACAAGCCGCATGAAACCCGTATGTGTGCATTCCACGATGTTCTGGAAATACAAAAACCTTCCAGGCTCCAAGGATCCCCAACTCGAAGTCGTGACGGCGTCCTCGGGAACATTGGACTCTTTTTTGGCAGGAGTCAACAAGTTTCAACCTGGACCAAAACGGGCAAGCTCTTTTGCCGATCTTTCAATCACTCAGTTTATGTGCCTTTTGATCCGTGGAAATGGGAAGGCCGCGCCTTCGCCATTTGAGGGTTCCCAATTGGGGACCCGGTGCCCAGTATTTTCCCCTCCAAAGTGAGTCACAAGAGGGATAACACAAAAAGCATAGCCCTCTTTGAACCTTGATTCATTTCATTTGACCTCCAGGGACACGTTTTTGGTTCTGTTGGATCGGCCTTGGTACATCTGCGCTCCAGTGGAGGACGTCTCCAGCTGATGGGCATCCAGCTGAAGTTGTCCTCACATGGCGCCCGCGCCCGAGATTTCCCTTCAAACCTCACCCCACGAAAAGGAAACTCACCAGACATGGGCCAACAAGGTGACGTTGAACGCCACCAAAGAGGAGAATATTGGAAATGAACAGGCCCCTTTAAAGATTTTTCCTTTGATTCGGGGCGTCGAATTGAATCGGGGCGTCGTTTCGAGGCAGTAACCGGGGTTTATTTCAAAGGCATTTCACAGGTGTAAGGACTGGTTCAAACTTCCAAAAACATGGACTGTTGGAGGGGGTAGTTTGGCACTCGCCCCAAGCCACACGCGGCCACCTTCACGTACCCGTTTTAAACCCTGGGAGTACCCATTTTAAACCTTAAGGGTACCTGAGTCAAACCCGGGATTGTTCCGGGTACTTTGCCAGCGTCCCGCCCGCCGCGCTACGCTGGCTGCTGTGCCACGCACCGCCCACGCCAGGGCCTCGGCGAGCGAAGGATGCTGAGGGTTTTTTGACAAACCTTGCCGGAGCAGTTTGAAACTTCATCTTACACGATTTTGGCTCAAATGTTGCGTCGCGCAACGTTGATGCTGCCACCCAGCGCAGACTCAAACAAACCTAGGGTTGGAAGTCGTCTCAAGCTGGTGGATGGATGGTACGAAGCCACAGAGCTCGCTTGCACGTTATCCTGGGAAAGTCTCCGGGGGAAGCTCTGCGGAAGTTTGGGGCGAAAGCGTACTCCCTTCAGGCCCAGAAAGAAGACTGCAAACGATGCTTCGCCCGACGTTTTGGGGCCAATTGGGAAGTTACTGCCTGGTATGTACGTGACACCTCAGCTCGCCGCGGACGCAAGTGGCCTGACACGCTGGCCGGAATCATCAAGAACGTTTCTGCTACAGATGGAGTGCTAGCAACTTCCTCGGTGTGCCGCATGCTGAGAAACAAGAAGGACTTGGTGCAGATTGAAGACAGCAAGGTGCCTGTCCTTATTTGCGAGAACGAAGAGCTAGACACAACGACCCCAAGAGGCAAAAACTTGTTCGGCAAGCTTGTTTTGGATGGGGAACTTGAGGCTTGGGTGCCAAAGTAAACAGCCAGAAGAGGTGTTGGTATTGTGACTGTTTTTGCTCCACTGTGTGAAAGACCCTGCTAGGCCGATTTATGCTCCATGCGAGTCAAGCGTGCCCTTCAAGTTGCCAAGTCTCGCGGCGTGGCATTGGGCACGCACAACAAGAAAGTCCGAGGTAAGGGCGCAAAGAAGCGCCACGAACAAGCCAAAACCTTCGCAGTATCAGTGCTGCCCCGCATTCAAAAACTCTGGGCCCAGGGTCTTGGAGGGAAGCGAATCACGAAGACTCTAAATGCAGACCGAAAAGCGCTCAGGCTGAATAACGACAAAACGTTTCACCTCAGCAAAGTTCAGCGCATCACAGCCCTGCTTGTCCAAATGAAAAAGCTTCCCAAGCGCAAGTAGGCACGCCCGCTGTGCCGGGCTTCCTTTTTTCCACTGGCTTAAAGCCACAGGAGTTTAAGAGACACGGAAAAAGCGGTGTTCAGTTGCCCAGACCACAAAAGCGCTGACAGCTTGTGCATCCGACGAAAAAACCGCTCCATTCTAGACTGATCTTTTGTGCTTCTTGAGAGGAGGAGCGGCTGCTGATGATGCACTGGATGGATGCGAGCTGCTCGCGTGTTGCTTCAAATGCTCCATCATTAAAGAGATCAAGAACTTGACATCCTGTAGTGGCTTTCCCTTGTTGAGCTCTCTTGCAGCAGTGTTGGCGATTTCCATGCATTGTTCAGCTGAAGCTCCTTCTTGTTCTACCTTAGTCAGGGGCATCGCAATGAACAAAGGGTAGATGTAAAACAGTGTGTGTGTGTGTGTGTGTGTGTGTTTTCTGTGGACCCCCCAAAATGGTGGGTTTTACATTTGGCCTCCCTTTGAAGCTAACCAGCAGGGTGCCCTCAAAGAAATTGCGCCGAAATGCCCGAAGCAAGACTCAGACACCTGCCGCCAAAGCGCCATAGTCCCTTCCACAATCTTGGCTGGTTGACCTGCTTGAACGGCTGCTGCCGCTCGCCCCTTCACCCGCACTGAGGCAAACCCCAAGTTGGATGCGGGAATCGGCGCTTCCTTCTTCCGCACGGAGGCTGGCTTAGCCTCGCCTTCTGAGGGAGAGAGCTGAGAAACTCTCAAAACATGGTTTTGGCGCTGCATCAACTTGAGAATCAATGGCTTCAAGCTTTTGGCTGCTCCGGCAAGCAAATCTGCACCGGGGTAAATCAGTACATGCGTCAGTGACCACTGCAAGCTGAGGCAACGTTTTTGTCCATGCTTGCAAAACTACACTCGTAATGTCAAAACTGCGCGCCCAAGTCCCCACTACTACAGTGAGCAGCACTAAACTCTGAAGCGGCCATCAAGGGATCACCTGTGCAAACGTAGTGGGCGAGACAAATCAGTAAATGCTCTTGTTAAAGCGATAGGCCGCCCGAGAGTGGACTTCCTAGCAAGCGGGTTTCAGTCCTGAGACTCATTCGGCGTGTCTTCGCAGTTGAACCCAGGGGGCGGGGAAGGTCCTTCAATCTCTGCATCCTCGCCCTCTGGCAGGTTCAGCGGCTCCTCGCACTTTTCGTCCGGGACCCCAGGCTGAGTGCGGTCCGCAACCATCTTGCTGACCTCCCCCATTTTGATGAAGCCGCACTGAACGGCATGCCCCTCAGAATCTCCAGCTTCGAGCCGGCTCAGCACCTCCAAGCACACAGTCATGTTCTCCTTCAGGCTTGCGCCGCGGATGCGCGCCTGCAAGCGGTGTTGAAGGGTCTTTTGGAAACGTGCTTGGGTGAGTGTTTTCCTTGCCCGCAAAACGAAATCTCGAAAGCTTGAATCAAACCGGGCAAAGGTGCCGTAATCAGGATCGTCAACGTAGCCTTGCAACGGACGCTGACGAAGCCTGACTTTGGATACCTCATTTCGTAGTAGTGGTGCCCGCCAGCATGCACATGTTTCAGTGGCGGAAGGTCCTGGCACGCACGCGGGTGGCTCGCGAAAGTCAGGATTTGCAGAGCCCTTCACCCAAGTCCTCGTAGATCTTGCCTTCGCCCGTGGCAGGCTTCTTGGCTTTCTTTGACTTCGCGGCTGGGCGCTTTTTTGCTGCAGGCTGGCTGGGCCCAGGATGGGGCGTGACTTCAGGCTCTGGCTGGCCAATGCTGGTCTTTCTCATACTGCCAGCAGCTGCGGCAGGCCGCTTCATGGGTGGCTTCCTGGCTTTGGCTTTGTTCTGCGACTCTCCCTCCGCAATCGGTGGCTTCGGCGCTTTGCTTGGCGTACTGGGCGCTTTCAGTGGCGGCTTGGTCTCAGCAGATTTCCTCTTTCGCCCAGCTTTGGGTTTGGGCGACGCTTTTGCTTGGGCAGGCAGAGCAGCGCCAGGTGTTTGTTGCTCTGCCTCTTCCGAGTCGCTGAGTGTGCTCACACGCTCTGCCATGGTTGGCGGCATGAGCAACTTGGCAAGGCAACTTACCGCAAATGAAACACCGAGGTCTTGGGCCGATGCATTCACTTGAAAACGCCAAAAGTGAGCCTGTTTCCAATAGTTTGTCTTTGTTTGGAGCTCCCAAGAAAAGAGAAATCCAACACATGCCGGGGCAACGATATGTAAAGGCTCCACTTTTGACATCCTCCCTTCGGGTGCACAGCACCTGGCTTGCCCAAGATCACGTCCAAACTCACACACTGGCACTTTGATGTGTTCTTGATTTGGCGGAAAGGGTTCGCACATACTTGCAACAAGAGGGACGCTTGACCTGGAACATGCCACGGATTAATCATTTTGATCACCTCGCGTTTGTCCTAGTCTGGCCCCGAAAAGTGGGGCGTCGGCCGTTGATGGTCGGCCGATGGCAAAAATCTCACCTACCGGGGCCACAGGCATGCAATCACGCTGGCCTAAACGACTTGGTAGAGCTTGTTGGCAATCAGCTTCAGGGACCCTGTCAGCCAAAACTTGGGCTTGAGAGGCTTGATGCAAGCGGGATGGTCAGTTTGAAGGCGGACTTCCCACAAGGTTGTTGCCACTGTGCCCTTGAGCATCTTGAGTTTGCCGAGCCAAGCGGAGCCAGCGCTTGCCCTCTTCAGGCTGTCTGCGGCCAGCTCATCGTCGCTGAGCCGATCGGGGGCAAAGGCCAAGGCTCGGGTGCCCGCGCGAATGGTGCAGCGGCAGAACTTCTCTTGGGAGACTCCCTGCGGGGGAGAGGGTGGGCAAGTCTATGTTCATTCACACTATAAAACTTAGCTTTGCGAAGCCCCCACCTCATTCCCGGCCATCAAGGGAACACAGACATGGTTATCCACCTTGAGGTCAGGGATATTCTTTTGAAAAGCTTCGTACACCATGTCGCAGACACGGACAATCGTCTTACACCCGTCTGTCGTGTTGACCACCGACTGGAGGTCAGATGAGATGTCGAACATGATGCTTTGGTCTTGGCCTTGGCTTCCACAAACGACAAAACAAGAAGTGGGTTCTGCAGTCCTGGGATGCTTGACAAACCAACAGTCCCCGAAGATCGTTCCCCTAAACAGTGTGTCAGCACTAAGGGGTTCTTACGGTAAGAGTCAGGGGCCGCTGCTTCATCAAGGTGCTCAATTTGGTCTGGAGCATTTTTCATTATATTTACGTACAACCGTGACTTCATAAAATCTTGCAGGTGCGTTTCGACTGCGCAGGCTTCCGCAAAGTGGTTGGCCGAGATTTGGGGCGCGCTTTTGGGCTGCGCAGGCTCGCGCTAAAGTTTCCTCATGAGATGCTCATGTGCATTTCGACTGCGCAGGCTCGCACAAAGTCTGTGGACGAATTTGGTGTCTTGCGAGGGTGTGCTCTCTCTGCGGCTCCGTGCGGATTTCGAAAACGGCAGATTGGCGAACCTTCTGCGCATAGCTGGGCTGCGCTAAGCAGAGCAACCCTTTTTTTTAAGCACCCCTTTCGCTGACTCTTTTGGCAAAAAAACGCAACTCAGGACACTTGATGC